TGAATTTTAGTAGGATTAAATTTCCCAACCTTTCTCTTTCACACAGCCCTCAATCACTGCAAGCATTCATTGTAATTCCTCCTCAATGCTCCCCTGAATCAGGAAGTCATCTCTATAATGAACCATGTGCATACGAGGAGACATTTTTACTTCATCCAGATGCTCAGCCACTATTTGATGACAAATAGTTGGACTATGCACCCATCTCTGAGGCAATCTGGTAAAGGTGTACTGCCACCCCTGCCACACAAAGGCAAGTTGATCCCCATGTTCCTCTGCAATTGGGATAGTACAAAACATGATGGCTAAATCCATCACAGCATACCAAGTTCCAGGATGCTTCTGAACTCTGTCTGTTAAAGTGACAGTGTCAGGTACAGCTGCCATGAGAGGTGGGGTGTGCTTGTTTAATTCCCTGAAATCTATGGTCATCCTCCATAATCCATCACTCTTTTTAACAGGCCAGATTGGATTGTTCCAGGTTGTGGTTGTTGATTTTAAAACTCCTGCAGCAAATAAATCTTTAGTTGTCTGGGAAATCTCTTCATGCCTGCCTGGAATCCTGCACTGTTTTATTGTCACTACTTTGGTTGCAGCCAGAATCTGCACAGAAGGCATTTTTACTTTTCCCACTAAAATTACCCAGGCACTGATATAGCTCTTTACTCCAAATTGGTACCAACCACCAGGGACGTTCAAGGTAAGTCCTTTCAGAATATCTATTCCTATTATATACTTTGGGACAGGAACAATCATGACCGAACACAATCATTTTGGGAGGTTTCCGATTTCCATTTCTACCTGGGTTTGCATGGCTTCAATTCGTTTATTATTGATTAAGGCTTTTAATGTTTGCAAGGACCTTTTTTTCCAAAACGTTTGCAGCTCTCCACATAGGGTTGCTGGTCCTCCCGTGTCCACTGTACCAGAGGCTGGCCATCATTTCAGTCTGAGTCAGGATGCCAAACTACATCCCTAGTCTCTTTCCAAGGATACAGGTCAGAATACAGCCGCCAATGCTCCTTCTCCCCCGGAACAGCCGATCCACTTGCAGGGCGGGTGGGGGTGATCCTCCCCAAGCAGATGTGAAGTCACATTATGGTTCCAGAGGAGGTGCCATAGGCTGCACTGCTCCTGATTTTTTTCCTTATAATTCTGCATTTTTTGGTGACATTTAAATAACCCTCTCTGTCTGTGTAACCTCCACAGCTCATGGGTCTCAGCACCATCAATCTTATTGTGAGGTACACCATCTTTCACTAAAGCTGCAAACATTTCTCAAGAGAGCTTATGCTCACTACTTTTACAGTGTCGGGTCTCGATTTCCTGCACTCTCCTGGGGTCCCCATTCTTCAAGGTCACTCAGCTACTGTATTTTGTCAGTTACCTCCCTAAGGTGATTCCCCACCTTGTTAAGCAGGAGAATCATCATTATATGCCTATCTGCCGGTGGAATGGTTTTAAATACTGCACGGCTCATAGGGACAATCTAAGCTGCACCAAAGCATCAACATGTCCTATAAAAATAGCCAGTTTCATTCCTTCTTCCTTCAGTCACTCTATTCCATCCTGCAGAGTCTGCCACGGTTGGTCAGAGTTGGCCCAGACATTCTCTAGGGGGGGTTTGCCCCTACACACTGTAGCGACTAAAGCTAACAAATTGGTATCCTGATTGTTATTTCAAAATGCTTCCTGTACAAAAGATTCCCAACTTGGTGTTACATACATTTTTAGACTCCGCTTTGTCCAGATTAACTGGCAACGCTTCCTCGTCGTGTGGACACACCATCCAAGAAAGCAGGAGCTCTCTTGGCCTCTGCTTAAGCCGTTCACTGATATCATTTACTTCTTGCTGCCTATAATGCTCCAAGACATCTTTCCTCACTAGCTGTCTGTTTTTGTCGAATTCCAACTTTTGCCTATATACCCGTCTTGCACCTACAGATCCATCTGAGCTATCAGCTTCATCAAAATCCACAGAATACCAAGTGTCTTCATCTGCCTGTACAATTGCTGAATGAACTTCCCTATGAGTAACTTGCCCCTCCTGTTCATATGGTTATACTGGGCAGCTCATACTGCAGCTTTTTCAGCTAGTCTGGCAAGCTTGAAACTTATCAGCCAGCAGCTTATTTAAACATTGTAATGCTGCGGTTTGATTCTGCAGGCTGCTCACCTGCTGCTCCACGGGGGAACGTCCTGGTAAAAATCATTCTTTCTGTTGATGCTGTTTCCTATATGCAGTTAGCAAGATCCATCTCCATCTTCCGAAACTCACAGTGTCCTCTTCTTTCTCTTTAGGCAATTTCTGGTCTAGTGCCCAATGCATCTTGTGGTTCGGCTTCTGCCAGCCTCTTCTCCCACTGTTTGCACGGTCCCCCGATCTTAGTCCACTCAAGAGCCAGCGAATTGTGTGGAGGGTCTTCCCAACTGGGAACTTCGCACAGGGCTGTCTGTGACACCAATTTTCTTCTGCCAATTGTGTGGCAAGATAGAGAGTTTCCCAGCAGAGAGAAAAATCCTCTGCCCAATCGTTAGAATCATCCCTGCACCAACTTTAATTCAGGGCTTGGGGGTCAGGCCCCAGCACTTCATCTGGGCTTTGCCATCCTTACAATTATGCACTAACCTCATTTGCTGTAGCAGACTGTCAAAGACGAGTGGTCTTTGAGAATATATGTTGCCATCTGAGAGGACTTCACGCACAAGTAGCAGAGACAGATCACTCTAAGGAACAAGAGTACAGATTTCTCCTGTATTTTCAACAGTTTATTACACAGGGCTGCCCATGGTGTATGAGGCCTCAATGGCTGGCTCTACTTATTGAAATCTGCAGTAATTTAACACAGAAAAAGTCTCAAGTAGTGAGTCTCAGCCTTCCAACTAAACAAAAAAGTTTCAGTCTGAAAGTGCCCTAAGTCTTCCACCAGGACACAGTCTTAGATGACTCGTGAATTCCAACTCAGACGCACTCTGCCATTACCTGGGTTGGAGCATATGTGGATATCTAAGTACATGGGTACTTTGCATCCATAAACCCCATGTTTTTTATCAGAGAAAACAATTCTTCTCTAGCACTACAACATGAAGAAGTGCCACCATGTATTGTAATTATAAGTTAGGGCTACAAAATCCATACAGAGCCCACAGAACGCGCCACACAACAAAGCAATGAAATTACAAAGTAATGCAGCAAGCTCCCTGGGTGCTTTTATAGGCACCTTTTCATCCCTTTCACGTGCAGTGACATGGTTTATCCATGAATCAGAAAAGCAGGAGGGACACAAAAGTAAACACTGGTGCAGTGAATGGTCTGATAGAGACTCCAAGTAAATTCCTACAGGCCCGAGCCACAAAGGCAGCTAGAAGAGCTTACAACCTCTCAGCTTTGGTATAAAGAGAACAGTGAGTGCCCTCTAAAGGAAACTACATTCAAAATCACTATCCCAGATTTCCAGCCTTCAATGAGATTAGACTTAATTGTTCCACATGTAAGTGGGGAAAGATGCAAAGATAGAAGCTGACAAAAAGAATGAAACGAGCACTTCAGAAGAAATATTGACAGCACATTAGTATGCAGATAATGTAGGGCACAGTAACAGCACATTGTAGAATGAGACAACCACTCCTCTATAAATCCAGTACAACTAGACTCGATACATCACGTTCCATTCTGTCCATCACATTGTCAGAAAGAGGTCAACAGCTGGGAGGGAGCCTAGAGAAGCGGTCACATGTCTTGAGGAGGCTAAAAAAACCTGATTTACACTGAAAGACTGGGAGCTAAACACATGCAGCCGGGTTCAGTGACAACAAGCAGCAGATGATAAGGGTACACGACAGCAACCGGAACACATGTGAAGGGGAGGACAGAAATGATTTATAATAATACAAGGGAAGAAAACTCAAAATACTAAGATACAAATTAGAACTGCTTTACTGAATATCACAAAGAAATTTTGGCCATGCATAAAATGATGCCTGAAAAATTAAACTATGGAAGTGCAGTTCTTAGCTCGGTCAGAGCAGAGGATGTGATGTTGACTCTGGTTTTAAAAAACAGAGTGCACAAAAATTTCTGCACAGCTATGCACGCAAGAGATAAATAGCACTTTCAATGCTTCGAATCTCCTCTAGCAACTTTTAAATTTAGAGCAGTAAATACAAAACTACAAAAATTTTGGAGGTTTCTGTTGAACTAAAAAGTGGAAATCTAAACCTGAGAATGATGTGGAATTTAATTTCAAAAGGAAATAAATCAGGAAACAGGACAGTAGTTATCCGAGTACATCTTTATGTTTTGGGAAAAAGTCTCAATCACAGAAATTTCAAACATACTGAAGATAGAAAAAAGGTAGAGAAAGAGACTGCACTAGAATTTAGCCTCACTGTAAACAGCTTACACCAGACTGCTGTAACATTTTATCCTTTTATTCTCTAGTCTTGGTACTGAAAAATTTGTGACATACATACCAACACAGGATTGCAGGTAATATCTAGTGAAGAGACATATCTTTTCTGCAACATCCCTGAAATATTGCTAGCAGAAAATGAAGACTGCAGCTAATTGCAGAATAAACTGTAAATGTTCTCCATGTCCTCATTTCCATGCCACCAGGAAGAGTGTAATGAGGCATGTAAGTGAGTAGAATTTGTTGCCTCAAAATGAAAAATTAAGATTGCTTTGGTCTCCTCTCGAGCAAGACAGTGTTGATGTCTTTTGTATCTTGTGCTAACTTATCATTGAAATCCATCTGTCCATCTAAGAATATTCTTCTAAGTAAAGAGGCCTGATTATTACTTTCCAGCCACAGGCGTTTATGGCACTGGGAGAATAAACTTTACAGGGATATCTGCAGTCTGTCACCAGAGAAAGATGGGTCAACAGGTATGGTGTGGAGATGGCAGAAAGGACAGAGACAGGAGTAGGAACCAGTGGAAGATAGGTAAATGCCACGCTTCTTAATCTTGTGGTATTAATCTGTTTTAATTTTCTTTAGATCATTACTGGGAATATCATCCACATCACATCCACAACGAGTTCGAAAGCTTTGGAGACAATCACTTCACGGAGCTGCAGAGCGTACAGCCTCCCCAGCTGCAGCAGCTCTACAGGCACATGGAGATTGAACAAATGCACGTCCTGGATTCGTCAATCCCAACCCCACACATCGGCCTCAACCACCAGGTACTCCTAGCAACCCTAACTCAGAGTTTGAGATGATAATCAAGGGTAAAGAAAAGAACTCATCATTGCCTGCTCTCAGGCAAAAGAGGCTGCTTCAATGAACTGCACTTGGGGTAAAACTCTGCACTCTCGGGACAAATGTGACTTAAGCATTCTTTTCATCTGGATAATGAGGAGTCACATTCCTCACACTGTGCCTGAAAAGGCAACTGCATTTTATGGAGGTTTTTAAAATGTCAGAATTTTGTTTATTTAGGAATGAAAATCATGTGTTTTGAAATTCTGCAGAGAAACTGGGCCCGAGAAGCTATGCATTGTCATAGCAAGGTATCCCTGAGGACTGGGAAGTATTCAGAGCCTCTAAGTAGTAGGAAAGTTTTAAATATTTCCAAACAACTCTGCCAGTTTCACATGACTCATACAAGAAATGCTAACAAAGACAAGACACCAGTAATTTTACCACAGTGAAAGAGGCTGAGGACAACCTACTTGTGTTTTCACCTGAAAGTAAATAAGTCACGAGCCAGAAGGCACCCTCTTGTCTTTGCTCAGATTTTACATGATAGTCATCTTCCTGTAAGAACCAGACACTCCATTCTGCAGTAAAGATAGTCACCAAAAGGCCAGTCAATTCTCACTAATGCTGAAATTATAAGGGGGTTCATTGTACTGCAAATACTATGCAAAGTGCATCTGGAGATGACTTTTAATTCTTGGTCCTACAAGAATACACCCAAAGTAATTACTGGGAGCAGTAAGAAAGCTGGCTGACCTTCTCCTAAGGAGTTTCCTGGGAAGGCAGGCAAGCTACATAAAATGTGCTGAATACTAGACAGAGTGGGACTGAGGTCAGAGAAAAAGAGGTTTATTACAGTGCTGCATATAATGATGCCATTGCTGAAGTTCTGTGAGAGAAACTGCATGCATGGAATTGTCATTTTGGGCTTCTTTGTTCAAAGCAAAAGGAAACTGAATACTGTATAAATCAAGAACAAAGAAGGAAAAAAACTGAATAAGTTAACACTATCAACAGGAAACTGACTGAAAGCCATCCAACTTCTTACCTACTACTCAGAAAAAAATCAGGAATAGAATATAAGATGTAGATTCAAACAAAGAATTAGGAACAGAAAGTTACAAACATAAAAAATGCTTCATGGAACAGCAGTCTGTGGGAAGTCGTTTCAGTTGCTCACTGCAACTGCTAATGCTAATACTAATAATGACTGACCTTTGCCTCCAACCAAAGGCGAAAAATAAAAATTAGCCCCTTTATTGCTGTCATCAGAAGGACCACCAAAAAAAAAAAAAACCAAACCAAACCCAAGAGAGGGTTTTTCTAATTATCCCACTTAACACCTCTCATTTCAGGACAAATAGCAGAGGATTCATTTTGTTGCAACTTTAGATAAATCACACTGTGCTCTCTGCCCCACCCCATACCACACTGCAGAAGGTACTAGTAGGTACAATTCACTGCTACCCTCCTCTTCCTTACTAGCTGGGGATCTTTGGCTTCTCACTTCAACCTCCAGTAGCTCATGCAAGTGGCACTTGGCTGTCATACTCTGAGGTGCTGATGTTCAGCCACAGTCCTAGGCAACACATACTATTATTTGAGGCATTTTCAAAGAAAAAACAAAATAAAACAAAACAAAACCAACAGAAGCAGGAAGCAAGCTTTAATCCTCCACTGAATTTGCCTGTTACTAACTGTACCCACCCTTGTCATGCAATATCAGAGCTACAGTTTGCAAATAAGGGAAGAACACACAAAGATATTTCTCTAATTTTCTGTTATTTTCACATTACTTTGCAAAATCAAATCTGAAGTTCAAGCTGTTCTTGGCCAAGATTTTTTTTCTTTTTTTTTTGTTTGCCAGCCAACAGGTGGTCTCACAAATAGTAAATTACAAAACTACTCACTCCAAAAGAAGAACGAAAGCAACTGTTGGAAAATTATGAAGTGTTTTAGAAAAGAGGAAAATTGCAAATGGATGCCACAGGCCGAGGCACCATCAGAATATGGAAAGTAGCTAGTGATTTCTTAAGCTTTCTCTCTCCAGAACCGCATTAGTAAGGTGGCTCTGACAAACACACTAGCACGTCCTCTGTGACTGTGTAACACACCCATGTCACGCAGTACTACCTTCGCTGAGTTTCAGGTGCAAAATAAGTGTAAGCAAAAATACAGCAGACAGGGAAAGTGGCGGCAGTGTGGGGGAAGCTTATTGTACTGCATCGGTTGGCCCCTTGGCTTGTGAGATACCGTTCCCCTGTGCTCCTCCACAGCACTCTACTACTGTCCCCCTCCAGCCCCAGAGGACCTACACACATCACCAACGC